CTCTAATTATTTTGTTTAATTCCACTTCGCAGTGCAGTATGACAGAATTTCGCATGCTCAAACGTTAATGTGACCGCAGCCTTACTGTGCAGACCTGTAATCTGCAAGACAATAATTATATCTGCTGATTTCTTAATTTTGTTATACTTTTTCTGTTATTTATTTGTTTGGTGCCAAAACAATAAAATAAATTTGTCTGAAAAATGTTATGCCTTTTTTTTAATAACAGCTAAGAATACTGATTAATTTTAGTAACACTACAATAACTATATATTACATACTATTAATGTGTATGCAGTATAATGCTGTGATTTGTAACACTACAATACAGTAATTAACTGTACACAGTTTCCAGTTAGTTACCACTGCTGCTCTATTACAGTAATTAACTGGCAACAAAGTTGCCAGCTACTCACTGTATTGGTTCAGTTACAGTAAATAACTGGCAACACTGTTGCCAGCCACTCACTGTAATGGTTCAGTTACAGTAATTAACTGGCAACACTGTTGCCAGTTACTTACTGTAACTGAACTTTTACAGTGAGTGGCTGGCAACAGTGTTGCCAGTATTCTACTGTAAAATCAACCCGGTAAGGTCTAACAGTGTAGGTTAATTAAGGTAACTAGGCAGGTTAGGGTAATTAGGTAAGTTATTGTAAACGATGGGTTGTTCTGTAGACTATCGAGAAAAAATATAGCTTAAATGGGCTAATAATTTTGTCCCTAAAATGGTGTTTTAAAAAAATTAAAACTGCTTTTATTCTAGCTGAAATAAAACAAATACGACTTTTTCCAGAAGAAAAAATATTATTAAAAAATATTATATATATATATATATATATATATATATATATATATATATATATATATATATATATCAAATATTATTTTATGTATATATAAAATGAATAAATCATATATATATATAACAGTAAACTTTGCTAATAAATCATATATAATCTATTTATTAGTGAACTAATACACTATAATAAGAGGCTTTATTTTTAAACTGTGGTATAGTTTAATATACCCTATAGAAAATGTAGTACAATATTGGGTCATTTGATTAAATTAGGCTATTACCACATAAAGAGTTATCACAAGAGATTAATTTGAATATTTGCCATAGTGTTCATTGGTTTAAAAACATGCGCTATAACCAGAAGTGGATTTAGTGATTTTGGGGCCCTAAGCAATTCCAGCCAAGGGGCCCAATATTCTAAAATGCACCTTTTGTATTTTATTTATTTTTTATTATTTTCAGTTTTTTCTTATATCTATCGGTCATCTTTTCTACATTTTTTCTTAATGTAAAATAATACGTGAATCACCAGAAAACTTTTGAAACTAGTTGTTTTTTAGATGCATTTTCAACTAAAAATATTAGGTGAACTTTTTGTTTTAAAATCTAAATCTTTACTGATTTTACTGCTTGACTGGTCCATGATTGAAGGGGGAGGACACATTTCCTCAGATGTGATAATTATGTTCAAATTAAAACTTTTAGACCCTCGCTGTACAAAATATGATTAAATAATATCATTTTAAGGTATTACTTATACTTCTAGGTATTTATCTGGGGGCCCTCAGATTTCCTGGGGCACTTAGCAGCCGCTTACCTTGCTTATTGGTTAAATCCCCTGGCTATAACTAATAACTAAAGGATTTTTCATGGGGCTGTCTATCATTCGAATTGTCTGATAACCTGGGATTCTGACTTTTCTATATCCCTGTGGAATATGGTGTATTTAGCTATATAATCATGTCTTTTTATCTATTCGTCCATCTAACTTCGTCGTTCTGTTTCACAGGTGTTGATACTTATCCAGCTCTAGGGGGCGCAAGAATATAGTTTTTCATACCTTTCAAAAAAATTTTGTTTTGAATTGAATTGGTTCTCCCATTAAAACAAAAAATAAAAATAAATAAAAGCATAATGATCATGACATTTCTGTAGCCAGGAATAAAGGGTATGTAACTTCTCAGCTATTAATAGATCATGTGGTTCTTGAACAGCCTATGGGTGAAGCTCACTAGAGAACTGAGGTACGCAGATGGAAAATCTTGCTTGTGAACAAGGCCTAGAGGTTGAAGACACTCAAGTAGGTCATGCCAAAACCATCACTAGTGCTCATACCATTTTATGTCCAAAAAACATACTTATAAAAAGTAAATATTTAGAAACTGTAAAGCATCTCACTTCTGTTGAACACAAAATATTTAGAAAATCCTCAAAAACCTATTGACTTCTATTGTATTATTATTTGTGACAATGGAAGTCAATGGGTCACAGCACTCAATTTTTCAAAATATCAGCTTTTGTTTTTGACAGATTAGATTTAAAATCATATGAGAATACTGTACTATTCCCTCACTTTCTCAAAAAATGCAAGCACCAGTGTCTTTAAAGTGATTTTATTGAAAGCCTCTTTAAAGAAACACACAAAGCAACAACAGAAAGACATTGAAATGACCTGTACAATTAGTGTTCTCAAATCATGCATCCGTTACATTACAATAACACAAGATCAAGATCATAATCAGCTTCATCAATGGCATTAACCTTACGCATCAACAAAAAGATGACTCCTATAAAAATCACATTTAATTCAGTATTTGGGTTCTACATTCTCTCAAACCCAAATTAGACTAAAATTGAACAACAATGGCTATACAATAAAGGCAGCACGTATCATTCACGTCTACGGCACGGGAAAATCATTAATATTAATTATAAAATATTTTCATAAACAAACAAAAACACATCAGACACTGATATATCTGTAGATGTAACCTCCAGTAGGCCTTCATCCTTAGCTTTTTAAACATATTTCTTCTTGCCTGTGCCGTCCTGGTTCCTAGTGGCAACATCTTATAAAATACAAGCCCTATTGCATGAAATGTAGGCCACATAGTATCATAGTGCTAAGCTACCTCTTTAAGAGCAACCACCTTGCATTGTTTCACACCATGGCGAAATCTATTTTCTACTATTACGGATATTAGGGTAAACAAAGACTTGGCTGTTTGCAACAATTTTAGGCAAAGGTAACAACAACATCATGGGGACTAACTGAGCAGCTGAAGGCAACACATGCTTCGGTATTAGATATTTTTGTACAGATGCACCACATGTGGCGCCCTCCACGGGGCAGCACCAGGGATATGTTCAGATCACAAATTATTTCAGACCTGGGACAAACGTTTGAAGACTTTTTTTATATATAAAAAATAAAATGTAGATATAATGAAAATAAGGTTGTTTGTTTACCAAAGCGTTTTTAAGATTAGCATATTTTTTAAATTGTTTTTGATAGTCAGATCTTATGAGAAAACGTAACTATTTTACGTTTTCAGTTTAGTCGCTAATTCGTATGAATTCGTAGTACAGTTGCAGGAAAATCTGCAATTTAAAAAAAGAAAGTGTGGCACCCAACCTGGCCCTTAAACCCAACCGTAATTGGGGGATGAGCAAATCATACTAAATTGTACGAATTCATATGAATTAGCCACTATCAAAAAGTTACGAATTGCCGTGAGATTGTGTTGATATACTACATTCTTTTTAAACACCAGCAATGTGATGAGATGAAAGATGGCTATTTGTTTTTTCTGGTCTAAAACTGGGTGAATATACTGCTAATAAATGTAACTTTTTAGCCAGCCACCCAATCAGAGTGAAGAAGGGGCGGGGCAATTACTGCACCAATCAAAATGCTCCAACATTATTGTTATAAGGTGTTCAACAAACATACCATTTGACAAAATAAAAAGAAATCAATTATTATCTAAATTGTGCTACCATTTAATCAAAAACAATTTACGTTAAAAGGAAAAAAAAAACCTACACAGAGAAGTGTTATTAATGATTAAATGGGCTAAAAACGCTTTCGAAAGTCCGAAAAGTAAGTCTGAATGCATTGACATTAACGTTTAGAGGTTAGTTATTTAAAAAGGTTACAATACTTCTTTAAAGTAAAACAAATATTTAAATTTCATTTTCGAAAATATGTTGATGGAAAAACAATGCCATATTGTCAAATCACTCTGAGGTTCATTCCTCCCTAAAGGCACAGCTATAGTGTAAAAGTGCTCCATTAAAAGACGGCTGTATAACTACAAGTGGAACTAAATTGTGTTCTATAATTAAATCTTATAATGAGGTTTGCCTTTGTCCTCTGGTGGAGTCTGACATTTTATCATCACTCAATACAACAAAGTTAGCTGCCATAAACTGAAGGTTATCCTGTTTCTTCAGGCCTAATGTGGCAGGTTATAATATTGCTCGCAAAAATCATTCGAACAAAGTTATATATGTCGCAATTTCATGACTTTGCGAATTTGTCATGTATGACAGTTCATACCGTGCCCATTGTTTATTAAGTTTGTCCAGGTGATTAGTCAGTTTCAGATAGATCGACAAACTGGCTGGTTTAACTGCATAAGCCCCACGAAATTAAGCTGACAGTTCCCAAACTATTTAGATATGTTTTTAGAAATTTGAGAAAAAGTTCCTTTCACATGGTACAAACCATGACCATACGAGCACCAACAATCAACACATGACTTCTCCCAATGGGGAAAAATTTGTTTACCTGCTCAACGCATAAACTCGCTGAAACTACTTCGCTTTCAGTCAAGTTGAAAATGTTGCATGAAGTTCACCCAAAGTTAGGTATAATTTTTATGTACTGATCCTCATGTATTTCCAAACCTTTTTGTTTTTAAACATATAAAAGATACAGGTTTATTGAACAGAAATGCCAAAGCTGCTCTTTTTCATATTGATGAATTGTGAACAAGACTAGTGTGCAAATTTTACCTATAGAGATCCCAGTAAAGAATGGAATTGCTTACACTTTTGTCTATTTATAACACAAAGCTATTAGATAAACAGCATGCAAGCCAATTATCCTTTCTGCAGTTTTACTGCTCCTATTCACTTCCACTATATGTAAATGTGCATCATAGAAGTATTTCAAAATGAGTAAATATTGACATTTTTGGAATAACAATTTCTTATCCTTTGAATCAAAACTAGTTCAATACAGTTGAGTAGTAACTGCTAGGGATCCACTTTTATTTTCTTTCTTTATTATTTTCTTTATTAGATACACTTTTATTTATTTTATTTTCTTAAGGAAACCATTTTTGAAACTTGATAGACTAATATTATCAGTTCAATATCAATACTGACACCTCCCAATACTCTACAAAACAAGTTTTATCCCAGGTCTGTGTTTTTTGTCAATTCTAGCACCCAGTTGGAACTGTAGACAACAGGACAAGAACAAGAGCCAACGACATGCAGTCACTGGCAAAATATGCACAATGAACATGGTCCCAGGCTGCATTGTTTTAAAGTGTGGTTGAGGGTTTCATCAACCAAGGCAATCTGTTATATTTGGTAGGTTTGAGACGCACTTAAAATAGAAGTCTCTTTGAAGTCTACCAATCAAGTTCGGAGAGAAATTATCTCAGCCCCAAAAATACAGTAACTATTACATGAAACACAAACTATTGTAGTCAGAAGGCAATAATGAGAAGGTTCTTCTCAATCAAGAAAAATGGGAAGTTGAGTATGTGGAAGGTTTAACGTACAGTACCACAATTTAGATGCAGTCCTCAGCATTCAAACTTCAGTTTAGAGTCTCAGCAGACATCTAAATTAAAGCGGAGTTCAAGCAGAAGGAAACAACGGTCTTCAGAATTTTTCAGCTTGGTGCATATAAATACAGTCTCGCCTATGCCGGGATAATATAGTAAGTGCAATGACGACTGGTGTTCTTCATTAGCATGGGAGAAAATTGTTGAGATCAATGCAAGGTTCGGATGCCTAAAATGGGCGTATTGCCACATCAAGTGTTATCTAACAAGTGCGTGAGTGGAAACACAATGTTCACCCACACTGGCTGAACTTCCAAAGCAGGAGTGAAGCATCTTGTGCTGCATAATTCCAATGCAACTCAAAAAAAAATGTCTTGGTGCAATGTCACAAGGTCAAGAAAGCTGTCGAGATCAACATTTCTTGGGTGGATTCTGAACTTTAAGTCTGACGACATGGGAATGATGGTCTCTACAGGACTGGAGGTGACAAGACAAGGTGCAATTACTGGGGAAAAAAAGAGGGGGAAGAAAACCATGAAGTACCACAAACCATCATAACATGCTGTTTAACAAGTACAGGTCAAGGGAAGCACCCTTGCCTCTAAATAATATCTTAATAGATTTCAATTCAACCAAAAATTCATTTTAATTTCATTAATGGCAACTATTTTAGAGTGCATTAATATCATTATGGCAAGTTTTCAAAGAATTATGTGGGCAGATATTTTTGGAGGAGACTTTTGGGGGAACCGTCAATATGCAGTTGTGGTGGGAGAGTTTGGGTTGTCAGCTTGGCAAGGGGAGGAGGGATCAGAACCTGCTCCCGAATTGCAGAATTCCTTGATGGTGACTGTGAGAAGGTTTGTGGTGACATCAGTCACAACCACATTGGCAGAGCTGGGTGCCATTTCAGGGTGCCAATCGGGGTCTCCCTCTTTTGGAACTCTATTTTTCTCAGGAAATGAGGCAGTAGTTTGGTTACTAACCTGGCAGACCGAAGCTCGACCCACCTGGGTTTGATGACGAAGTTCCTGTTTTCTGCCCCGAGAAGTGGCGGACTTCAGAGATCCCAGGTCTTCATCTTCCTGAGATGATGATGGAGAGGATGAATAGGAGGGTGAAGAAGGAAGGAATGGTGTTGAACTGGATTTTGGGTGAGGCTGGGAGGTATCATGGGAGCGTGATGACTCTGTGGGTGTCAATTTAGCTGAAGATGTAGGGCCTTCTTTTTGAGTTGGTTGTTTCTGAGTTGATGGGGAGCTGCCATTAGACCCACTGGAGTTGGATGGAGAAGGAGTAGGCTGGTACTGAAACCTCTGCGCAGAAGATTGACTACCACACCTGCTTCCACCTCCATGACTGGCTCTAGTGTTGGACCCTTCATTGGCCATAGAGGATGCCCCTCCAGAGGGGTTAAGCCCAAAAGGTTGGCCATACATCGGAATACCTAACATCTTCATAGGATGCTGGAACGGCCTGTAAGGCATGTCCCCATGCTTTTTCCCAATGATTCGATTTCGGGATGGGATTTTCGCCCTCCCTGCAAATGACTGTGGTGTCCTTCTACTGGTCATTCCACCATTTTCAGATTTGTCAATGACCTTTAGGTTCAAGATTATGCGCCCTCGTTTAACCTCCCGTGGTTTGACCCTGCGGTTAAGAATGCGGACAGTTTCAGAAAATGGAGAAATGGGGTGACGAGACGAGGATCCTGTGGAGTTGGCCAGAGGGTCAGATCGTGGCAAAGGTCGTCGAGACATCATGTGACAACGATGTATGTCTTTCTTCAATTTATGAGCAGCTGCGAGAGAATGCACTCTAGGGGTTGGAGCGGTAGAGTGGGAAGAGGATGATGAAGGCTGAGGAGTAGCTGAACTTGCAGAGGAGGAAGCGGTGGGAGGCTTTGCAGTGGTGCAAGATGGAGTGCGTCGAGTATATGAGCTCCGAGGTCGATCACCCGACTGAGCCCGTGCCTAGACAGGCAGAAAACAAAGGTAAGTGAAAGAGATTAACTTTGAAATAGAAAGTTTTGAGAAGATCAATCAAAACAAACAAAAAAAAAAAATTGTATTAAAAAAAGAAATTCAAAGAAGTTCTCAAACCTTTAGTACAAAGTTTTTTGGTTTGGGTCCACGTTTCTTTGGGCCGTAAAGTTCCTGCTCCCTCTCCCTATGAATTGTATAACAGCACCATTTAAGCCAGGGAAAATATGACATCACTTTGGTGTCAAGTCTAAACCATAACAATGCAAATGATAGTCGTAGAAAGCAGCAAAACACAAGACGCATTGTTTAAAGAACCATCAGTCTAACTGGCAGCATAAAGCAGCAAAATAAAAAAGAGAAGAAAAATATGTAAACAGTTCTTTCCTAGATGTTACGTTGAAAATATGAACTGCTGGAATATATATATATATAAATGTAGTTTACTGAAAAATAGTTTGGTTCTTTACATTTGTATAACATTATAAAGATATAGAAGGTAAAAGTAAAGTCGAAACTGACACTCACTTTTGCTCAAAGGCTTTTATGAGTCGATCATCCAGGATGTTCTCCTCTGGTTCCCATGTGCTGTGTCTATATTGCGAAACATTGAATCTTTAGAATGCTAATGGCTGTTAAGGAATATCATGATGATAAAGAATATAAGTAGCCTACATGATAACTTCATGCTATAGTTTTAAGGTAGTTTATCATGCAAGAACACACTTGGTTTTTCATCAACCCAAACACTCAAAACACTTTTGTCCTCAATGATAAGGCCTGTTTCACAATGAATGCAAATATGTCAAAATGTCAAAAGTCAAATTTACACAGATACTTTTTAATCAGTAAATCTGATTTCACATGACATATGTGACCCTGGACAGAAAACCACTCTTATTTATTTTTATTTGTTTATTTTATTACTCCCAAATGCGAAGGCATCAACATTACAGTTTTTTCATTTATGCCAAAAAAAAAAGTAATTATTATGTTCCATGAAGACACTTTGTAAATTTCCTACCATAAATATCAATACTAATAAAAAATTAATTTACATTATATAGACAATATTTGGAAAGTGTAACTTTTTAAGTATTTAGAATTTTTTTTAACCGTTCAATGTTTTTAATAGTTTTATCCCAGCCAAATATTGTCCTATTCTAATAAAGTATACATCAGTGGAAAGCTAATTTATTCAGTTTTCAGAAAAGTCATAGGTCTCAATTTCAAAAACAATTCACACCTACGACTGGTTTTGGTCACATATAAAGTTTAAAGCTAAACTTTGGTGTTTAAATTCATTTGTTGCAGTTTATTCTCTATCTGGATGTAAATGTGTGGGACACTTTATTCTCATGACTAGCTTACCAATGGTATTTTTCATATATGTAACATAAAAAAAAATAAAAAAATTTATTTCTTTGCAGAGTTAAAGTCGTTACACACTAATCATGGGCCGGTATAAGTTTCGGACAGTATGACAACCTTCAATAAAAATATCAGTTTCATGTCATCACGGTATTTTGATTAATGCTCTAAAATATATTATTTTTAAATGTCTAGATTTTAAAAAAAATTTAAAAATTCCCCTTTGAACACAATATATTTTATTTTAAAAAACATTTAAAATATTTTGGAACAGTAAACATGTCCGGCTAAATAATTCAAATGAATCGCAGATTTGTTTACAATTTAAAATGGCATCTTTGGACATCTTTTCTGCTAGAAATACTGTTGTACTAAAAATAATTAAATAAAAAAAAAAAGTAAAACAAAAATCTTACATATACTTTAGGAATGGTACAGCAGAAAATCTAAGCGGTTTTAAGACCTTGACTTTTCCAAATCGTGGGATAATGGTTATCGTTCTATGCCTATTACATACTACTGGTAAAAAATGTCCTAAATTAAAACCCTAAACACTGTCTATAACTTACATTTCAAAAAACAAACACAATATACTACAACAACTATATTTCTATTGCAGTTTATATTTTACACTTACTTGAGCGCCCAACCCTTCCATTTTACCAGGTACTCGATATGACCCTGCAGACAGAAACATGATAAAAACATTCTTTATTTAAACAACAATTAAATTAATGTGTGCACAGGAATAATCAACCACCACGTCCATGTAATTTAGCCATTTTTTCCTGATCAGTAAAAGTTGGGTCATTTAAATATAAACTAACACACTGTCACAGCACAACTAGCCCATTAAACCACGTGCCATGACACTTTGCAGTATGTAAACCACACAAATCCTCCTGCATTGTTGAGATCTTTGGTCAGCCAGCATGCATTGATTTTGTCATGGACTCCTGCCAGACACTTTGTCCCTTTTTAGCCTCCTCCTCCTCCTGCCGCTGCTCTTTTAGCGGGGCTGTTGTCAGTTCCCAACACAGCTCAACCCGATTTTACTTCGCAAATCTTAAGCAACACATAAACGTCTCACATTTGAGGCGTTATTTCCAATCTGACAATATAAACAAATGCGTTGGCTTGCTAAATCGGGAAACATCTGCAAGTAGGCCTCCCCCCTCTTGTCATTGCTCCGCTTCGCTAGACAAACGAAAGACGACACTCTTTCTGTACTTCACGTCGTAGAAAACAACCCCAGCCTCTTTAGATATTAATCCTCTTTACTCACTTTCCTAACGCGGCTTTTTAGAATGGCTTCCGCGGCGAAAACCCGGTCTCCTGCCGCCGACAGCTCCATCTTTTCGGTGCAGACGGTTCTGTCTCGCGGCTCTACACTTTACAAATCTGTGACAGAAACAAACCCCCGCGCAGTCACGTGTTCCGGGGTCAACCAGCCCCGGTAGTCCTGGAAACGAAGAGAAGGGGGTAATAAAATTGTAAAACACTTTCTTCATATTCCATGTATTAATAAAGTATACATTGGAATACCTTGTTTGAAGGTTTTTCTAGCTGATTATCATGTATGAATTAATAGTAAGAGATTTAAAGAGTTAAAGTTCATTCAAAAGTGAACTTGCTATTTGTGATATGTATAACCAATGTGCTAATTAGGCTATACATTGACGATGGAGGGGTCAACTTTTTTCGGTAGTGGTTTGGTAATACATGCTTCTGTGAATCAAAATATGTATTTAAGTTACATCTAATTCATGTATATGTTTTTAGTGTTTTGAGGGATATTTAGTGACTATACAATACAAATTATGTGTCTTATTTTTCTTTTTTTAGGCTACATGCAGATATGAACACCTATTTTGCAAGAAAAATGTTTAGTGTATTCTTAAGATGTCTATGTGTGCTCTAGAACTGCCAGTTTCAGATTGTTGAATACTATTTTTCCTAGCATTGATTGGCACATTATGCATTCACAAAGGTATAAACCGTTAAAGGGGTTCAAATTTATATTTCTATGATACATGATGGGGGGGGGGGGGGGGGGGGGGGGGGGTTGAAGGGGGGGTCAATCCCCCAAAAGCACCCTATAATTCGCACCCTGTTTCTAACATATATTGACATTCTGAATAACTATTGTTGGTAGTTTGGTGTCTTGTTTCCAAAATGTACACTGCAAACTTGACAATGTATTTTACTTTTATTTTATTGATTTTGTATTTGGATGCCATGTTAGAATTGAAAAACGCTTATGGAAATTAACCATGGGCTACTACAAAAAAAAAAAAAAAAAAAGTTAGTGGAGTCGGATAGTTCACCCAGAATTACAATTTACCCTCAAGTTTACCCAGAATTAATATTTACCCTCAAGTGGTTTAATCACACTTTTCAATATTTTTATTAAATGTTAGGTAATATATTAATATTAATAATAAACTGATAATGAACAATATGTGTAGAGCATTTATTACTTATTATTATGTATTACATAGTAATTACTAGCACAAATGCATTATGTTTTAATTAGACAAACCATAGTTTAACAGCTGTATTTGTGGTAAAAAGAGGCATTTTTTTGAAAGACATCTGCTGTTTATCTCCCCAAAGCCCCCTCTAATTTGCACCCTGTTTCTAAGATATTGACATTCAGAATAAATATTGTTGGTAGTTTGGTGTCTTGTTTCCAAAATGTACACTGCAAACTTGACAATGTATTTTACTTTTATTTTATTGATTTTGTATTTGGATGCCATGTTAGAATTGAAAAACGCTTATGGAAATTAACCATGGGCTATTACAAAAAAAGGGTTAGTGGAGTCGGATAGTTTACCCAGAATTAATATTTACCCTAGTGGTTTAATCACACTTTTAAATATGTTCATTAAATGTTAGTTAATATATTAATATTAATAATAAACTGATAATGAACAATATGTGTAGAGCATTTATTACTTATTATTATGTATTACATAGTAATTACTAATGTTCAGGAGCACAACTAACATCCCCCTCACTTTTAAAGCCAAACCATTTAGAAACAGATGATTTATGATTATGTGAACGTAAACTTTTGGATCTTATTCAGCTGTTACAACACTTTTAAAATGTCCACTACGCCCCTGCTAATGTTCATTCATGCTAGTAACTAACAATGAAGCTAAAGAAACTCCTTTTTTAAAGGTTTGCTAGCTTCCTTTATTTTGTAAAAAATAATAAAAAAAAGCAGTAACTGTTGACTTCCATAGTTGGAAAACATATTTTGGAAGACGTTACTAGATTTCCAACAATTTTTAAATAATTAATCATTTGGTGTTCAACAAAAGGAGAAACTCAATCAGGTTTGTGACAAGTGAAGGGTGAGTAAATGCTTACAGAATTTTCAGCTTTGTGTGAACTATCCCTTTAAACCATGGTGAGCACAAATGCATTATGTTTTAATTAGACAAACCATAGTTTAACAGCTGTATTTGTGGTAAAAAGAGGCATTTGTTTGAAAGATATCTGCTGTTTATCTCCCCAAAGCCCCCTCTAATTCGCACCCTGTTTCTAACATATTGACATTCTGAATAAATATTGTTGGTAGTTTGGTGTCTTGTATCCAAAATGTACACTGCATACTTGACAATTTATTTTACTTTTATTTTATTTCTTTTGTATTTGGATGCCATGTTAGAATTGAAAAACGCTTATGGAAATTAACCATGGGCTACTACAAAAAAAAAAAAAAAAGGTTTGTGGAGTTGGATAGTTCACCCAGAATTACAATTTACCCTCAAGTGGTTTAATCACACTTTTAAATATTGTCATTAAATGTTAGTTAATATATTAATTTTAATAATAAACTGATAATGAACAATATGTGTAGAGCATTTATTACTTATTATTATGTATTACATAGTAATTACTAATGTTCAGGAGCACAACTAACATCCCCCTCACTTTTAAAGCCAGACCATTTAGAAACAGATGATTAATAATTATATGAATGTAAACTTTTGAATCTTAATCAGATGTTACTGCACTTTTAAAATGTCCACTACGCCCCTGCTAATGTTCATTCATGCTAGTACATATTAACAATAAAGCTAAAGAAACTCCTTTTTAAAGGTTTGCTAGCTTCCTTTTATTTTGTAAAAAAAAAACAGTAACTGTTGACTTCCACAGTAGGAAAACATATTTTGGAAGACGTTACTAGGTTTCCAACAATGTTTAAATAATTAATCATTTGGTGTTCAACAAAAGGAGAAACTCAATCAGGTTTGTGACAAGTGAAGGGTGAGTAAATGCTTACAGAATTTTCAGCTTTGTGTGAACTATCCCTTTAAACCATGGTGAGCACAAATGCATTATGTTTTAATTAAACAAACCATAGTTTAACAGCTGTATTTGTGGTAAAAAGAGGCATTTGTTTGAAAGACATCTGCTGTTTACAATGATCTAATAAACATTTGTAAAAGATTTGTTGTATGAACAATCGAAATTTCAACCATCTTAGCATATTTTAAACATCTATTTAATTTCCGAAAAGAGATGTCTTACAGACGTAATGTAGATGAGCAAATCCTCAAATAAATACATCTTCCAGATGTAAATACCAACAACAAATATAATTCTGTGTAGTATAAGGGATGGTAATCAATGCACCTAAAAACATGGTTATTATACCCTTGCTATAATAAAATTATGGTTAATCTTCATAAGGGAACTTTAAGAAGTTAAAAAATGCACAAATCCAATTCGTAAATTCAAAACACGATTCAAAAATACACAAATGCAATTCATAAATTTAAAACACAATTCAAAAATACACAAATGCAATTTGTAAATTCCAAAAACTATTAAAAAGTACACAACTGGAATTTATAAATTCAAAACACGATTCAAAAGTACACAAATCCACTATGTAAATTTAAAATATGATTTAAAAATATACAAGTTCCATTTATTTGATGATAAAAAAATATTTATTTTTACTTGTGAATTCACAAATTGTGTTTACAAAATGACATATTGGATTTTGTAAATGTGTATTGTGCTGACTTTCATTTTCTAAATGTATTACTTTTCAGTCTTTTAAATACAATAAATATAAATTTGTAACATTTAAAGCTATGCAAATAGGCCTACATAATATGCATGATGTTTTACAAAGTTTAGATGGAGACGATAACTGTACATTCATTTACTAAACTTTTTTATAAGTTGTTCAAAACCCCCATAACATATGGACATATACACATTTAAATCTTTATATATTTCTTCATTTTATTTTGTAGTTAAAACCAGTTGTATAAATATATACCTCAAATCTAAAAACAGAAATGAAAAATAAGGCTCTTAACATCTACATTAGTTATCAGAATATCTGAAACCTCTTAAACTACTTCAGTGTCAATGTTTACACGTCAAAGCTAATCCATAACGTTAATGTCAAACATAACGTTATAATGTTTTTTTTTTTAGACTTTCTCTTATAGATATAATGTATTTTACATCCAAAAACTGCAAACCATCCCCTTTAAATTAAGAGCTATTTGAATTTTACTAAAGTCTAGAAGCTACTCGGTCGCCCAGACCTTATAAATCATTAAACACGGATGAATCCTAAATAAGAGCATTTTCTCGGCTTCAAACGCCTCTTGATCTTCATTGGCCGAGCTTGCAGTTGCGCACTGGATAAACGCATGCTGATTGGCTGTTGTCTCTGCCAGTCAAGCTTACACAAGGTTGGTTGTCATGCAGTGATTGTTGACGTCCTATCAAAAGTCAGCGATTTACTGACTCTGCGAAGCGCTAACAGTATAGGATAATGAAATAGCGATAAAGGTAAGGCATTTAGCAAAGCATACACGACTAAGAAGTTTAATATTTTATAGAGAATTGCTATATAATTGGGGTATCTGCTTTAAAATAGATGTCGACTGTTAGTGTGGCTCTAAATGACAGTCATTTCAAGATGTGTTATTTTCTTATTTGACTATTCGCGAATCTAGTTTTGATTATTGTCATCTGCGTAAGTTAGTGGTTGTGAAAACTTAAAACAGCGAGCTGTCACATAAGTTAATTGTAAGGGACGCTTTCGGTTGCGAGATGATTGTGCACGAGGCTAAAAACAATATCAGACCAGTCATAGATCATTTGCAGTTAACGGAAATGTTGTTGTTTTTGGCAGAAAACTGGGTTTGAGGTTTTTGTCCGTTTTGATCTGGTTTTGTTTTGAATTGGTCTCATTCGAGCAGAAAGTTGTTTTATTTTTATATGTGAAACTCACAGTAATGTCTCACCTAGATCCCTCAACCTGACTGACTTCAATACTGATGAACAGACTGGTGAATGTTACTGCATCACTTCATGCATCTTATTTTGGGATATTCTACCAGA